TGATGACCTTTTTTGCATATGCCGACATCCTTTCGTCCCTGGTTGCAAATTTACCTGTTGACTGGTTAACAATAAGTTGTGAATCACAAAAAACTATTACCTCATCTGCTTCTGCTACTGCTGCCAGTTTTAGCCCTGCAATTAATGCTTCGTATTCCGCTTCATTGTTTGAGGCCTTGAACCCCAAACGGATGGACTGTTCTATTATTTCTCCATCTGGAGATATCAGCAGTACTCCTGCCCCTGCTCCTTGTCGGTTCGAACTCCCATCGACGAACAGTCTGAATGAGTCGCCGATATAGATGCTGCAGGGTCTGAGCTTTTCCTTCCTTTGATCTTTTGCGTTTGGCTGGGATTCTCCTTGCGTGCTGGGACAATGCTCATCCTGGCTCAACGGAGCCCGATGTTCGATGGTTTCAGGCGTGAATTCTGCCACAAAGTCGGCTAAAACTTGGCCTTTAATTGCCGTTCTTGGCCTGAACTCCAGGTCATACTGACCCAGGGCTACTGCCCATCTTGCTATCCTTCCTGTTAAGTCTCCTTGTTGCAACAAGGACTTCAGTGGATGCTCTGTTAGGACCACAATCTTGTGCGCCTGAAAGTAATGGTTCAACTTCTTTGAAGCCATTACTAAGGCTAGCATTAATTTCTCCAGTGGTAGATACCTTGTTTCTGTGCTGGCCAAGGTTTTGCTTACATAGTAGACCGCCTTTTGCTCCCCTTTTTCTTCTCGAATTAGTATTGCACTTACTGCGTGTTCTGAAACTGCCAAGTACAAAAACAGTTCTTCCCCTGGTTCTGGATTGGAAAGAACCGAAGTTGTGGTCAAGTACTTCTTTAGGTCGGTTAGAGCGGTTTCGCATTCTTCTGTCCACAGAAAGTCTGTGGCTTTTTTCACCAAGTTGAAGATGGGTCTGCATTTATCTGAGCTTCTGCTGATGAATCTGTTTAGGGCTGCGGCCCTTCCAGTAAGCATCTGAACCTGTTTTGCCGACGTCGGGCTCTGCAGCTCTAGGATGGCCTTGATTTGATCTGGGCTGGCCTCAATGCCCTTTCTCGTTACCAAATACCCTAAAAACTTACCTGATCCAACTCCAAACGCGCACTTTGATGCGTTGAGTCGGAGCCGGTATGTTTTGAGTATATTAAAGACCTCTTTTAGGTCGGCAAGATGACCCTTAGATTCCTTGGTCTTCACGACCATGTCATCGATGTAGACTTCTACCGTTTTGCCAATTAGGTGCTTGAACATTTTTGTTACTAACCTTTGGTAAGTTGCTCCTGCGTCTTTCAACCCAAAAGGCATTACCTTGTAACAGTACAGGCCTTTAGGGGTGATGAACGCGGTTTTCTCCTCGTCTGGAGGGTACATGGCAATATGGTGGTACCCCCTGTATGCGTCCAGAAAACTCATTCTTTCATGCCCTGAAGTAGCGTCTACGAGCTGGTCAATCTTGGGCAGAGGAAAGCTGTCTTTGGGGCAAGCTTTGTTGAGGCTAGTAAAGTCTACACAAACCCTCCATTTGCCGTTCTTCTTCTTCACCACCACTGTGTTGGATAGCCAAGTTGGGTAGTGAACTTCTCGAATGGCCCTGGCCTCCAGAAGTCTATCTACTTCTTCTTCTACTGCTTCGACGTGCATCAACGTCGGTCTTCTAGCTCGTTGAATCACAGGTTTTGCCGACCTGTCGACATTCAGTCTGTGGCAAGTGACCTCGGAGTCAATGCCAGGCATCTCGTAAGGTGTCCAAGCGAACACCTCAATGTTGGCTCTCAAAAAATCTTCCAGTTCTCTTTCCTCTTCTTCGGCTAAGCCTAAGCCGAGAAGAAAGAAGCGTACTTCGTCGCCCTCCTGGACAAGGATTTTCTTTAGTGTCTCTTCACTCTTTTCGGCTGGCTCCTTGTCGACATCATCTAGGACCTCCATGTCCTCGTCTTCAATCTCTGCCTCTTTTGGCTCCCGAATGCAGCAGGTAGACTTCATTGCTGCCATGGAGCAACTTTTTGCCTGCAGTTGATCTCCTCTGACTTCTTCAATCCCATGCTTTGTTGGGAACCGCAGTAGTTGATGCAGTGTTGAAGGAACTGCCCCCATTGCATGCAACCATGGTCTTCCCAAGATGATGTTATATGGTGAGGGTGTGTCAATCACCATAAATTTTGTTTTAATCTTCTTAGTACCAGCTTGTACTTCCACGTTTACTGCGCCCAGTGGCCATGTCGGCGTTCCATTGAAGCCGACCATAGGGTTGCTAGATTGTTCCAGGTCGTCTGGGTGAAGGCCCAGCTCCTTGTAACATCTGACGTACATGATGTCACAAGAGCTGCCTTGATCTATTAGGGTGCGTTTCACTTGGTATTCCCTAACCTGGAGGGATACTACCAAGGCATCATTATGCGGATGTTGGACCAGCTCCAGGTCGGCTTCAGTAAAGGCTATCACCGGCCCTTGGCACTCTTCTGGCCGATGTCTTTTTTCCCCGATTTGGTAGACATGCTGTAAATGCCTTACCCTCTGGGTCTCTCCTCTGACTTCGTTCTCGTTGACCCTTGAGTGGATCACATTAACCACCCTTGGTCCTCCTGCCTGTGGTTACTGTACTGGAGGTGGTGGAGCTGCTGGTGCTTGAGGCAATCTTGCCTGTTCTTCTCTGGTCCTGGCCTCATCAACAAGGTCCCTCAGATGGCCTTGCCTTACCAAGTCTTCTAAGTGTGCTTTTAGGGCTCTGCAACCCTGGGTTGGGTGCCCTTCTTCATTGTGGTAAGCGCAACGTCTACCCATGTTTCTTTCCATGAATTCCCCTGGTGCTCTTGCTGGAGTTCTGAAATAGGGTTGGTTTCGTATTTGATCCAAGACTTTATGGATGGGGATTCGGAACACCGTGGTCACTGTCTGTTTACCCCTCAATTCTGTTTCTTGTTTGGTCAGTCCATTGTTACCTCGGCCTCGCTTCGGCGAGCCATTTCCTTTCTCCTGCTTTATCTCTTTGTTTCCCGATGTATCTTCCTCGGCTCTGGCGTACTTCTCGATTCTCGCCATGAGTTCTTCCATGCTTTTTGGCAATGTTTTTGCCAAAGACTTCCGTAGTGGGCAGTCATCTTTCAGGCCGTTCTTGAAAGATACGACCGCCACTTCTTGGTTGCATTCGGGTATTCGATTGAACACCTCGTAGTATCTCTTCGCGTAGGCCCTAAGGCCTTCTTCCTTGGCGATTCTTAAAGCCATCAGGGCGTCGACCCTCAAGGACTGTAGTTTGTTTGTTACAAACCTGGCCACAAACA